TTGTGTCCCTGTGGTTGGTGAAGATTCAGGGCAGATTCATGGGCGAGTCCAGCTCCATGGGTGAAGCAACAGTTGCCCATACCAAGAGTTTTAATTACCCCGTGAATCAGTGCAGCGGGGCACTTTTCAGAATCGGAAAAACTTTATTGATCCCCGCTGGGAAATTGCTTTGCTACAACTGCTGAACGTGCAGTTAGGAAAGAGAGAGTAAATAAGTGAAAATGCAGGCTGGACTGGTCCCTTCTTTAAAAACACAGAGCTGGTTCCTGCTTATCACATTCCTGGTCGGCAAAAACTTAAAATACAAGTAACTGTTCCCACGCACACACACCACTTTCTTAAAAAACAAGTTTACTGGACAAGTATCTGTTCCCATGCCCACCCCACTTCCTTCTTTCATCTAATCCAGGCTCCTGCACACTGTAAGCACTCACTGTAGTTTAACTGAAAAAAAAGGAGCTAGTTACATCAGGTTCAGTGTACTGTAAAAATCAGCTTAGACGGTTAAATATCACACGGTTGTCAACAAAAATGGGAGACGGAGAAAGATCCAGCATCGGCAGTTCGGTGGCTAAAAACCACATGACTGGCCCTTGACATAAGCCCCCCAATGTGACTCTGCTTAAAGTCAGTCGTCACAGAACTGAGCAAAAGAAGCCAGACACATATGAAGAGTTACTTTTCATGCTGCTTCAGTTTGTCATATTAAATGCCTCTTTTTAAATTGAATAAATGAGACTTTAAAAGTACATTCCTGATATGCATTTGTGCAAGTGTGAACATCAAATCAGAAAACATGATATATATCATAGCTTTGATATAATCAGCCACATGTTGCAACCTTTTCTTTTAGATAACATCTTGCTGTGAAACCATTTGTCAAGAACACTAAAATGATCATAGCAGAGGATGGTTTCGATCCATCGACCTCTGGGTTATGGGCCCAGCACGCTTCCGCTGCGCCACTCTGCTGACAACCACCCCAGATGGGAGTCGAACCCACAATCCCTGGCTTAGGAGGCCAGTGCCTTATCCATTAGGCCACTGGGGCTACAATCTACCATCTTCTCTCTGTGATTTGACACATTCAAATGATTGTCTGAGCTGCATGATGGTGATGGACAATCACATCTGTGATAAAATTGTTTGTTTCCTTAGCAGAGGATGGTTTCGATCCATCGACCTCTGGGTTATGGGCCCAGCACGCTTCCGCTGCGCCACTCTGCTGACAACCACCCCAGATGGGAGTCGAACCCACAATCCCTGGCTTAGGAGGCCAGTGCCTTATCCATTAGGCCACTGGGGCCACCGTGTACCTGGTTTCCATATGCAAGTCTTCCAGTTTCCTTCTGTGATTTGACACATTCAAATGATGGTGTGAGCCACATGATGGTGATGGACAATCGCATCTGGATAAAATTGTTTGTTTCCTTAGCAGAGGATGGTTTCGATCCATCGACCTCTGGGTTATGGGCCCAGCACGCTTCCGCTGCGCCACTCTGCTAGAAACCACCCCAGATGGGACTCGAACCCACAATCCCTGGCTTAGGAGGCCAGTGCCTTATCCATTAGGCCACTGGGGCTACACAGGAGCTTTCCTTTCATATTCAAAATCAGCTGCATATTCAGACAGAGTCTGAAACAATGCTATATCCACTACAGCTGCCCCCTTTTGACCTTCCGCGTTAGAGTAAGACAAACACTGAAATGTTGACTGCTGAGTTCACAAGCTGTCTAGCTGTTCAAAGTGCAACACTTCTCTAATAAATCACACGCAGACAAACATTTCCCAGAAAAATCAAACAGGTTAGACCTCTATTATCCTCTGTCGTGAATATGCAGTGTTTCTGCAGCAGTTGACGACATCACAACATACCTGTGTTCACACTGTAAACTATGTCTCAGTGACCCTCCGGTGTGTTATCTTCTACAGCCGTCACACTCATATAGTAAAGACCTAAAAGTCTGTCACAAAAGATTAACTAAGTGGGGATTCACCATTATAAATTTGTTTATTTTCTTCATCTAAATGACGTACTGTAAGGAGTTTCAACCTCTGGTTCAGGGCCTGCCGGGGGCCGATTAAGAGGTTCCACAAGGTCCTAATAAAAATGACACAATGACAGGTCCAACTCTGCTCTACAGATTACACATCTGCATTTTAACACATATATTTGCAGTAATAAAGTTTCAAACAACATCAAACATCGAGCTTAACACCAGTGATTGTACAGCGAAATGTTGCATTACATGAATATGATTTACTGATTTCTAATGATAACATATTTACACTGTTAAACTAACTGTATTTATCGCTGACCATATTCAACTGTACAAACTGCCTCCTTCACACTGTACATACTACGTAACTGCTCACTCTTAATATTGCATCATAACCATTCATAACCGTTTATTTTGTATATATCAGATAAATCTCGTCTCATTAGTTTATCGTTAAATCTGTGTTTTGTTACCGTTGGTTGGATGTTAAACTGCCCTTTGTACTCGTACTTACTGAGTGCAATGACAACAAATCTTAATCTAATCTTAATTTAAAAACAAAAAACAATAAAGGGATTAAATTGTTTTATTTTTCTCAAAATTACTGAAAATTATTCATGTTGATAATCAGATTGAGAACAAGATGGAGCCCGCCATCAATTTTTTTTTACTTTTAATTAATTGAATCTATTACCTGATACTATTTATATTAAAACAAAAACAAACATATATATTAATATGCTTTTTTTATAGCTAAGAAGACCTTCTGCCTACCTGCATCATGAGTACCAGCCGTCTCACCTTGCTGCTGTGAATATTTTCGAGTATGTGTCATGTTATCGCTCAAGAGGAAACATAAACAAATGACTGGGCAGTTCTTGCACCAATCAAATCCATTCACTGAAATAACCTACCCATTAACACCAGCTAGGCATCATTGATTGGATTAATACTCAGGAATAAGGAGGCAGAAATGGTGCAAGGAGATTACAGAATGGTGGAGGTTATTTACAGTCTATGGTGTTTACTGAGCGGGAGATAGGTTCATTCATTCATTCAAATTCTTGTCTTAATTAGGTCAATTTTAAACATCTTGTTGGCTCAGTTTGAAGAAATGTATACATTTAGAGTTTGATTAAACTTCACATGTTGGTGTGTAACCCCGACTCCTCTTCTAAACTCAATGGCTTGCATGATTAGCATGATTACATTACATTCATCAGGCTTTTGTCCAGAACACATACAATAAGTGCATTCAACCTCCGCAGCGACTTGAGAATAGACGTTGATACATGAGCAGATTCACTGACTCAAGTGTTTCACTCCCTGACAATAAAACTCTTGTCCAATGTTGAATCGCTGCAGGAAAAATCTGATATGACACATATGTACAACTTTAGGCCTTTTCCACCTGCTCTTTTCCTTAAAATGAATCTGTATCTCCCTGTGACTCCTCCCAACAGATACTCTACTATATCTGTGAGCTCAAGCAAACACTAGAAAGCAAAGTATTCCTGCTACACCAAGCTATGTTTTTTTTTTCCATACTTTTGTCTACTTTTTGATATTGTTATCATTATTGTAGAATACTGGACAGTTTTATCTCTTCACGCCTTTAAAATGATTCATATTAAAAGGGAAAATCAAAGCTCACAGATCAGAGTGAGGAGGGGTCACTCGCAGATTTTTCATCTTGGAGGTAAAAAGGTAAAAAGTAGAATATTTCTCTCTCAGCTGTGGCATGGTAAAAGTATAAGGTAGTATAAAATGGAAATACTCAAGTACCTCAGATTTATACTTAAATAAAAAGTAAAGTGACTTTTACACCTGTGCCCTCTGACCTTTACCATGGATTCACACAAAATTGTTGTCATTTCACTTTAGTGTGCAAATATTTATTAAACGGTCTATAGCACATAATAATGAAGCTATAAGCTGCTATAAGGACATTTTAGGTGTCTGTACAGTGTATTTAAACAATTTTAACTTCAGCTGTTTTACTGTTTATACAGCAGCCTCCACAGGTGGAGATATGGCTTTTGGCAAAAGCATTAATAAACACTTGTATCTGCTTATAACTACATTATATTGTGTTATGCATCCTTCATTAAATGTTTGTATGTAAATGCTGAATAAAGAATGTGGTCATTATCACCACGGTTCATCAGCGAGTCATAAGGTGTTGTTGTGCCAGAAGAAACAATAGTAACTGTAAGAGATAGACGTGGCCTGATAAAAACCTTCAAAATAAGACTTTGAAAGCAGATCCTGACTGTGTGGAGACAGACAGCACCTGGACCTGGACCTGGACCTTGCAGGCCTACCTTCAGTCTCCAGCCGCTGTTCGCTGAGTGGACCTCACAGGTGCAGTCAGGCTTACAGCCACATTCAACCATACAGATCTGCTCCCCGGCGCCGGACGACGACTCGGAGACATACTTGGACAGACTTTTGGGCGACTTCGACGAAAACATGGTTGGAGAAGCTGATCTGATGCCGTCTGGTTTATCTTCACCTATCAGTCGGAGGGCTAAAGTCCGCAGTGGGCAAGCGCTTCGTCCAGTTCCTGGAGATAAGGGGCGCGCGGCGCAGCGCGGGTGCGCACTGCAGGGAAAGTCATTTTTTTTGTGTGTTTCAGCTCTGGAGTTGGAGGTTTTGGATCAGAGGGGTTCATGATGACAGGGTGGGCAAAGATTTCAATCACATGACTTGTGCATGTTTGGATAGGAACTGCAGAGAAGGACCCAAAACAACGTGGATCAGCCTCACAAACAGTACAATGTGCAAAAAAGTGACTTCCTAACATTATATATTCATTTAATCTAATATTCACACTTCATAACTCTTTAAATAACAAATAAAATAATAAATAAGATCTTAAAATAACCCCGTAGTCTATTTATAGAACTGGGTACAGAAATAAACCATATGTAGAAAAATAAGTTTTATTTTTGTCCAGATAAATTCAAGTACAAGCACTCCATAAAAGCAAAGAGACCCCCACCCCCCCCCCACCCCTTGAGGTAGAGGAGGGGCTCCCTTCATGGGATTAAGTCTAACCTTCCAAAATTAAAGCCAGTTTGCTATTGTAAAAAGATCCAATCATCCAAAGGTCAAGTGTGCTTAATTTCTCCAGTCTCTTACAGAGAGCCACAGAGATAAAGACACTTCCAGCACAACAATCAACAAAAGTGGAATATTTTCAACTGTCCATACTCTGGACTGCACAAACTGACTCTTGATTATATTATTTACAAAAATCATTTTATTGACTGCACTCAATAAAGCCTCAAATGTCAATGGCATACTGTAAATGATGCAAGAAACAGTCAAGACTCTGTGTGTATGTGTGTGTGTGTGTGTGTGTGTGTGTGTGTGTAGGGGGGAGGGTTGAAGGGGGTGGAAGCAAACCAAGTTAAAAAAGATGCAAAGGAAGTAGGAAAAGTTAGAAAAACTGAGGAAAAAAGGACAAAAAAATCTTCATTTTGTTTTGTGTGCACTAATGGATATAAAATATGGCACACACAAGAAATAAAACATCCTTACTTGTTTCATCAGCTTCATTTTCCTACAAGTGACAAAAATCTGCCAGGTGGCAGAGATACCCACAATTCCTTTTCAAGAATTGAAATCCGTGTTATTGATTAATTTATGAACTTTCAATGAATGAATTCCTGTTCCTTAAAATTAAAAATATTCATCTATTATTTAGAACAAAATTCCATAGATTTCTTCTTTATTTTTGTGGCTCAATGATCTCAGATCATCACTGATGTTCAGTTTCTCATTCCGACGTTAAAATTCTCAGAAATCTGTCATTTTGTCTCGTTAATTCTGCCCTCAAACAAACAGGAAATGAAAAACTCCTCGACTGGAGCAGCACAAGATCATCTCACTCTGGCACGATTTCTCACTCTGCAGGAAATACAGTATCTTTAGATCAAACACATGAGACAAAGTGTTCATAGGAACATTTTCTGCAGTGTAGATCTGTACAACATGAAACAGGTTGGGATGGGTAAAAGCAACAGGCACCAAAATTTCTTTCAGTCAGAACCTCTCAGCGCTGTCGGTCCCAGCGCCAGATCGAAGCGTCGTCACACACAGCTATCAAAATGCTGCTGTCGCGGCTGAAACTGGTTTGTCGGATGGCGGACATGCATTTGGGGAGGGTCAGCGTGGTGCACCTGGAGACCAGGAAGAAGACCATTATGGTTGTTGTAACATTTGTTTGGTGCAAACCAATAATTGTTTGTGAATCATAGAACTAACAATTATAGAAAAAGAAAAAGATCTATTTATCTGTCGATGTAGTTTCATAATGACAAACAATTAATTGATTAGCTTTATATCTGCTGCTATGAGAAAAGTCTACAGCTGACACCATGAGTTGATAAATCAATTAGTTGATCAGATCGAATCGAGTAAGAGCTTTTTTTGGTAGTTTTTTGACATTTTACAGACCAAACAACTACTTCAACAACATCAGCGACAGGAAGAGTGTCCCGGCTGTTAGTGAGGATTCAAACCGTGACTCATCTGTGTTGTGGACTTACTTTGCTTTATGAGGATCTTCCACTTCAAGGTCCCACACATAAAGCTTCCCCACCTGGTTTCCCAGAGCCAGCATCTGTAATTTTAGGGTCACATCACAAATATTCAGGATTCCTTATTAGTTAAAAAAAAAAAAGGTGAAATTACCGTAAATACAGCTACAAATGAATAAAGAAGTTATCTGACCTTCTGCCAGAAGTCCATGGAGAAGCGCATGTACCAGATGTCACACTGGCTGTAATCAAAACGTCCCAGAATCGTCACATTCGACTCATTGGGTTTAATGTGATCGATGTCGTCCTCCATCTTTCCTGGTTTCCAGCACACGATGGCATTTTCACAGGACTGAAATGAGATAATAAATACAAAAAAAATTATCAGGAGGATCTATTTCCTTGTGTAATTTGGCACATTGCTGGTACCATTGATCCTTTCTGATCAACCTTGTTTTCAGACTGATTTACATGACGGTGATGGACAATCACACCAGGATAAAAAATGCTGTTTCCCTTAGCAGAGGATGGTTTCGATCCATCGACCTCTGGGTTATGGGCCCAGCACGCTTCCGCTGCGCCACTCTGCTGGAAATCACCCCAGATGGGACTCGAACCCACAATCCCTGGCTTAGGAGGCCAGTGCCTTATCCATTAGGCCACTGGGGCTACACAAACACACTGTTTGTCTGTTTTTTTTTGGAATACTTTGTTTCTATAGACTATAGGGGTACAACAACAATGTACTGTCGGCATGTTATTTAGGTTGTATAGCAGCCTACTCCTCTAGCTGTCAATGTTGGCTGAGTGTTAATTTGCTAGACCTAACCTCACTATCAACCACTGCATTTTTTTTCAAGGTATGTTAGTCCATTCTAAGTATCATTACACTCACTAATAACTTGCCTTGGACAGAATAAGGTCTCCCAGCCACCGCACACAGTCCACATAGTTTCTGTGGATGTCTCGTGTTGAGAAATCAGGGAAGTGAATTTTCTGTGAGACGAAAGGCCTGAAAGAAAAAAAAAAAAAAAAAAAAAAAACAACAACAACACAAATTTAATGAAAAATTATTAAAACATGTCAGACACTCCCTCATGTTTGATTCATTTTGAACAACGCTGTAGATTCCATGCAGGTCAAACAGGACAAAAAAACCAGAGTTGTTTTTTTTACCTATTGGTCTTTGAGGGGTTGTACTCATAAGATCCACGAATGGCTTTCTGCATTCTCTCTGAATTGATCCTCCACAGTTTTAGGGAGTGGTCCATCCCACATGACATAATCTTTTCACCCAGAAGATCAAAATCCTAAAAAAAAAATAAAAAAATGAGGAAACAGATTATAAACCTTTTTAAGGAATAACTTACTTAACTGTACCTATTGATGGGGCTGCATCATCTTGAGTAATATGATTCGTATGGTCAGTATTTCTTTTTCTTTTTTTCCTGTGTTCAATGTGGTTAATTCTGCGATTTAATGACACTCACGGCACTCAGGACTTCGTCTCGATGACCTTCCACACCGCCAAATATCGCCACTAATGTGTCTGTTTGAATGTTCCATAGACGAAGGGCATGATCTGAGGAAACGGGCACAAAATAACCAATTAAAATCCAATGATTTGGCCGCTATTAAAAGGAAGAAAGTCAGGTTTAACTACAGTGGAACTTTGCCTAATTTCAACCAAACTGAATATCTACTGCTCTTTCACGTTCCAATCTAAAGTGTAAGCAAGGCAGCAGCAGAGGAATTAAATGACTGATATTTCCTTTGCACTGATTCAACAGCTACAATCATGATGCCCTTCAGTGAGGCAGGGCAAGGCCGATGTTCCAGGCACATGTGTGGTTTGACTGTGTGAATTGAACAAGTTTAACACCCAGTCAAAATCCACTTGACTAAATAAAAGATTAAACTTTGTTGCCGTTCACATGGCCCTTATCAGAAAATCAAACCATGCCACCTATTTTTACCTCAGATTAAGGAACCACCTGACACTCACATGGTAATACAAATACTTGAACTATCCCTACTGTCCTTGAGCGGTGTTGCACCCTCATGTGACCTACTGTAACCTACTTCTTTCTGTGCCACAATGAAGGGAGCAAGGGTTAGATTTAGGGTTAAGGTTTTACCTTTGCTGACGGACAGGAGGAGATTGGGATCTCTCGGGTGAAACTTGAGCTCATTGATGGCGTTTCCATGACCTACATAATGCTGAATATGAAAAGAAAAGAAAGCAAATAAAAGATTCATCAATTTTGTGCTATGAAAATGCAATAAACGGTATTTAAGTCCACATGGAATCAATTTTCCTGGATGGTTTATGATTCTGATAATTAATAAGATACATGAATTTGGGTCACTGGTACAAAAACTGTGAGCAGTGAGAAAAATTGGACAAAAGTAATTATCAAATGACAATATTACTAAGAGTCTCCAAAACAAGCAAAGGTAGGAAAGCCCAGGCTGCCTACAAATCAATGAACTTTGAGAGCTAACAGATTAAATGTACCTTGATGCACTGCATCGTGATGTGGTTGATCACTCGAATAATGCCGCGGGACCCGGCGACAGCCAGCAGGGGGTGACTTGTGTTGGTGTCATAGGTCCAGGCACAAGTATAGAAGTTTTCCTCGGCCTTTACACACATGTAGTCAAAGAAATCAAAACAAAGAGTCTCCTGGTGATCTTTAAACTAACTTTTCCTAAGAGGAGGTCGAGTCTTTGCTTGGCAGTTACAAACATCCAAAAACTAAAGCTTTCTGTTGACTAACAGGCTGATAAGGGAAAGCTGTTGATATGTTATAAATGCTTTACTAGTTAAATAGTTCCTAGCTGATTGGGATTTATATCTGTGACCCTTCTTTACACTGTAAAGATTTTTTTAATCTTCTTCAATACATTTCTATGCAAGCATTTCAAGTATGACCTCATGTGGTGTTTGGGTTCAGCTCAGGTGACAAAGAATTCAATGTCTATGTTGGTGTTCTGTCGTCTTGGTTATGCAATAGCTGGTGATAACAAAAGCAGCCAGACGTGCTATGTGAACTGGCAACTGTGATGAATGACTGAATAACAAATAACAACAAGGAAGGAGCCACTTAAAAAAAAAAAAAAAAGCATTATAAGCAAGTGAAAGGATACGTCTGCATCGACATAAGACTGCAGGAGTCTTATTTCTCCCTGAGAGTGACATTCATACAAAGTTACCTGGTGAAGAAAAGACACCACTGGTTAGTTATGGAACGATACAAACAAAAGATGGTTATCCACAACAAAAAACACAGCATCACAACATGTCTACAACGTTTAAGAACTCAGGATAAATTTACCACTCAGGTGCTTCGTCACCACTTACCCTGTTACTCCCAACTGTGGCAAACACCAGCGGGTCTCCCTCCTTGCTGTGCCAGTTAAACTGGACTCCAAACAGTGGCTGGCCGTGATCCTCCTGTGAAAACCAATAAATGATTATCAACAACTTTCAGATGCCTGTTTTACATTTCAATGAAAATATGCTTCGTTAAGATGGATTTAAAGCATTAAAGCAGACGTTTACCACAGCAGAAAGGAAATTAAAAACTCACTGTTGAGTTTTGAAAAAAAAAAATTGAACTATAGAAGGCCCAAAAGTCTTGGTAGAGGAAATTATGATACCTGGGCTCAACACACTGTTCAGGGTGGTGAATGTACTTACCCTCAGACTGTTGACACATTTAAAAGAGTATCTGCACTTCTTGGACTTCCACTTGCCCTTGCCCCAGCTCTTTCTGCCCGGGGCGTTGGCAGTGTTAGTGGGTGTGTCTGGACGTTCCGCATTGGTCCCACTCTCAACGCTGACAGCATCATCCTACAGAATGAAGAAGGATACAGGTTATGCAAATGCAGATTTTCTGAACAGATGAAGGACAAATAACTTAACCCACAGATGCACCGGAGTCTCTGAACCACCTCATGTATTGTTTACATCATTTGTTACCAGTGCCTGTCTGATGTTGCTGTATTGAAGCTTTGGTCAACATTTTTACCAAGTGACAAACAACACTGGACAAAGACCATGTTATTTTGTCTAATAATATGCACAATACTCTGCATTACACCCAGGTTCTTCTGTCACAGTCGTACTGTGGCTCTGCTCTTCTGAGCATCTTTTAACTGTATTTAGCGGCAACAGTTTAACCTGAAAAGTTACTTAAAGTCTATTGGCACTAACCTTGAAGCACTTACTTTTAGCACAAGAGGTTTAACATTTACCACTTACTTTTTGTAATTTATATCAGCTCAGAGGATGTAGACAGTTTCAACTACGACCAGCATGGCTCTTAAATGATCTACTTTTCATATTGGTGATAAAAAGGCAACCTTCATTAACGTATTCCAAGTTTATGCCCCTCTGTCAACCATTAATTTAACAGGCAATTTACAATAACTGCTACAATGCGCAACTCAATTAGCTGCTAGTGCTAACGCTAACTTCAGTTTACACGTGAATGGATGCAGTCAAAGCCCAAAGAAAGCGGTATTTGTGTGTGTACTTAAAAGACAGAGATAGTACGAAGAAAACTCCCACTATGTAGCACATTAGCGAGATATTAAACTGGTCTACAGCTGATATCAGCTTTTGAGCAGGTGTTTGAATTCAGCCGGTATAGATGGACAAAGCTTCTAGCTAGCCGCTGTAGCTATTCGGATACTTTAGCACGATGCTAATCCGCTAAACGCTAATTATGGGTCATTTATCACAGAAGAAACAACACAGTTTAACTGCTTACATTCTCGTCTCCTGATAAATCGGGGTTACTGTTCTCGTCACTGCTTAGTTTTTGTTTTTTCGCCGGTATTTCTTTTCCCGCTTGAGAAGGGGACTCGGACATGTTCTTATTTTCCCTCATTTTGACTCAAACTCCGCCTTTTCCGCTCCACTGTGGCAAGTACTGCCGGGTAACGTAGTTTGGTTCGGTCTCGAGTTGTAGTTCAGATAAATTTCATTAAAATTCTGATGAAAAAACATCAAATTTTAGCTGATTACAGTTGTTTTCCTCTGTTAAATATAATTTTAATTTTGGTCCATAGTAACTTTATCAGCATTTTACAATATATTTAACATTTTGTCCAATTAAATCATGTGTGAACAACCAAATAATTAAAAATTTTAATAGTGGCTTGAAGCCCTAGTCCACCTAAGAGTTAAGTCCAATTCAAAGCATTAGATGCATTAAAAGCAATAAATGTTAAGCAAATTGGTCTGTTAGGATTGCATTAACAAGCTTCTAGTAAATAAATTTATGACCAGCATAAGTAAGTAAGCATGTTGTATAACAAAACTAACAGAGGAGTAGATGTCTAATGAGTTACCAAGTGGAATCACCTGTGTGTGCAGGGCGTTTAATCAAACTGAATACAGGCTAAATAAAACATAAAAACATTCACATTTATATATGAATTTAATAAAAAAAACTGTTTACAATTATGTTTTCTCACAGAAATCGATTTGCTTTCATAGTCCAACATTATTCTTTTCTCTTTGCAGTGATATCTGCCATGGTGATAAAATGAGGTGGTTTCAGGACCTAAAGCACCATCTCTGCGTCTTCTATGGAGGCTTCGCTCATCTCCTCAGAAAGCCCATCATCGTCATCCTTCTCCTCCTCCTCCTCCTCCCCTTCGTCCTCCTCAGCTGCTCTCTTTACACCCCTCTGCTTCGACAGGGCCACAGCGTAACGGATGTTGTACATGTTGAAGTCACACCTGTACACAGAACATACCCATTTACAATAATGAACTTGGTTTGAATTTGGGTGCCATGGTTCAGTGGGGGCACATGTACTGGAACATGAAGACAATCAAGGGACAGAAACAGGAAAGAAATACTGTTCCTAATATTACAACCACAGAACTTAAGTGGTTTTAGACTCACCATCTCATATATTGTGTTATTTGTTTTGAATATTCACCTATCTATGTGTGTGCAGGTTGATGTTGCTTAAATGTTGAGACTTACAGTTTGGACAGGTTGTCAAAGTGTCTCTGGATGCTCTTCTGCAGCGACTGGAGGGTGGGCAGTATGGATCCTGACCTGCACACCAAAAGAAATCTTGTATACTGACGCAGAATTATACCAAAACAGACTAAATTCAGTGAAATAATACATTACAAAGAAATGACTGAGTTTCCACCCTGTGTCCACTCTGGCCTTGGTCTTAGTGTTTCTGTTTTCTTAAAATCATGTACAACTGTGTTCTAGTTTAAAACAAGGTAGCAGACCTGTTCTTGAGATTCTGTCCGTGCAGCATGAGCAGGCTCTGGGCCCAGGTCATGTAGAACTGCAGGTGACCCGACTTCTCCAAAGACGCCGCCACGAATCCCAGCAGCTTTTCGACGTAAATGTCGGGTAGAGAGCCACAAATCACTGGGACTAGAGGACACAGACAATCACATCAATAGCCAGTCATTTAAAATTCACTGTGTTGTGTGAGGGATTTTTACTCACTTTGCTCATGCGGCACCGTTTCCAACACCTCCTGCTTGAGGGCTTTTTCGTTGAGCCTGAACGCCAGGACGATGGCCGACACCCACTCCTGAAGCCGCAGCTGCTTACGTATGCTGGCCGGCGTCACGTCCAGGTCGAGGTCGTAGGGGTCAAACACCATAGAACCATCAAGGGAGTAGACCAGCAGGCCCTCGGTGGTGGTGGCCGCCCAGCTACGACCTGAGAGAAGATGGAGCCACTTTATTAACCAGCTGACACCAGAATTTTAGGTTACTTTTTGGGCATTTTTGCCTTTATTCTGATAGGACAGTGAGAAATGGACAGGAAAGTCAGGGAGAGAGAGAGAGAGAGAGGGGATGACATGCAGCAAAGGGTCACGGTTCAGACTCGAACCCATGGCGGCTGCGGTTAGGACCAAGCCCATGTGGTACGCGGTCTACCAGGTGACCCACTGAGGCGCCCGCAGAATATTTCCTCTTTATAAGATCAATTTCTCTGCAGTAGACAAAATCATTATCTCAAGTGTAATGCTGTCACCTACCAGTCGGGGAGAACCGCAGCGAGCTGACTCTGATCTCTGGCTTGAAATGTCGAGAACTCATGTCACCTTTAAAGACACAGACAGAGAGGATTTACAAGGTACTTGTAAACTGATGTCACAGTTTTCTACATTTGAATCAAATAAACCACTGTTGTCTGATTAAAAAAAAAAAAAGATAAAACCACCACATCCTTGATTGAACAGGCCTTGTTTTACTTTTACTTCAATAAGGAAACATACATCGATTGCCCTGTCTTGGATGTCTTGTTCACCTTTGCACCAGTGTCACAGCAACAGATTCCTCCCAGTCTGGAGGAACAAATGATTCTCATACTTTAATAATAACCGGTGTGAGGTTTGAAGGCGGAGTCGTACCTTTCCTGACTCCCGGGAGGCTGATGTTGACCCCCTCTCCGTCCCCAGCTCCCTCATCCACCAGAGCCAGGCTGCCGAACTCCGTCATTTTCCGCCTGTCCAGGAACTCCTGCAGGTAAAGCCGGACAGCAACATGATTAAGATAAGAGGGTTTCCATGCATTAAATTTAATTATTTTTCTTTTTAGAAGACAAACCAAACACCACAGACTCTTTTGAGATGATGATTCAATTCAATTCTCTGATGGTTGGTGTATGTTGTGCCCCTTTATTTTAAAAGCTGTGACTGAGCTGAACCGTACCTCCATGGCGTCGAAGGACAAGTTGCAGGAGATTTCAAACTTCTTCATGAGCATCTGCTCCTTGATGTTGTAGATGCAGACAAACTTGGACTGACCTCCGGCCAAAATAGACTCCCCATCCGCAGAGTAGCACAGAGACGTGAAGGACCTTAAAGAAAAACAGATATAACACACAACCTGAATCGACGCCCAGTTTGAAGCAAACCTGTCATAAAACGCACAGAAATCATCAAACTGAACATTGAAACAAACTGAGAGGCAGATGGTGACCCTGTCCACTCACTTGCCCTTGGCCGACTGCTTGGCTGTGATTTTATCCGTCTCTTTGCGGCCCATCTCCAGGTCATGGCGTCCAGCCACGGAGCCAGTCTGTGTGGCTGTGTGGGGGTTCCAGAAACAGATCTCCCCGTTCAGAGTGGCCACGGCCAACTCCTGACCATCAGGGCGGTAAGTCACCGACAGGCCTGAGGAGAAATAAACACAGTGAGATATCATACTTACAGCAACACATAAACAAGCACAGACCACTTAAAGTAAGTCAAACATAAAACACAGAAACACACGCTCTTTGGTTCAACAGTGCAATTTAAATTCCAACTTTGGCGCCCCTTAGAGGCTGTATAAAAAAAAGACACTGTGGCAGAGAACAGTATATCTGAGGGTCTAAACATCCCATGATCAGGGTCGCTCACTGCTGATATAACAAAGAAACACTGGGAGTTGTAGTCCAACGATCGTCAGTTACCATCAGAGGTGAGGGAAAGCGTTTCCTTGACCTGCCAGCTGTCCAACATGTCCCACAGCCGGACGGTGCGATCCCACGAGGCGCTGGCCAGGATGGACTGGACTGGACTGAAACACAAGCAGCTGACCGGACCCTCATGACCCCCAAGAACCTAATTAACCACAGGGAGGAAGGAGATGAAGGATCATAGCTGTTAAACACACTGTCAGATGACACAGTGTACATCTGGGTAAGACATTACAAGTTTCTCTTACTCTTACTTGCGACTTGAGAATTTAAACGTATGTAATCATGTGAGTACCTCCAGCAGTCGGCCTGTCTGCATGGACCAGAGGAAGATCTCAAAGGAGTCCTGGGCTCCCGCGCTCACCAGCTCGCCACTCTTATCCACTGCGAGGGAGGAGAACTGCGCGGGCCGAGGCGACGTGAACGTGCGGAAGTTACGGTACCTACGAACGCACACAAACACATTCACACACGCAGTTAACAAGATTCACACAGTACACGCTTCTCTTTCTCTCTGTTTTTTTGCTCCATCTCCATCAGGTCCCGGAAGAGAAGCGGCTTCACCTGTGCAGGTCGAACGCTCGGACCGTCCCGTCCAGAGAAGCGCTGACGATGACGAAGCCGCTGGAGGTGAAGGTGACGTTGGTGATGCTGCTGGTGTGCTCTGTGAAGGTGACGAAGCAAAGGCCGCTGTTGCTGTTCCACACTTTGACCTGCGGGAATGAAACCACAGTCTGACGTCAGATACAAACACTTTAAGGTTGCAGCATCAGCACAGGCTGTAACCCAAAACCTTTTTACTGTTTTTTGTAGCCTTTGAATCAAAACGAGAAACTTGTGGAGTCACTTTCCACTTTCCAGACTTGCATATGAACAGTGAGAAACGGCTGCAGGACACGGAGCACTCACTTTGCCATCGTCACCTCCCGTCGCGATGTACTGTCCGTCTGGCGAGTAGGCCAGTGAGGCCATGTTGTTGAAGTGTCCCTGCTGCTTGAATACGTACGACTCGCTCTGCCACTCCCACACCAGCAGCTGACCCATCCCTGAAACCCACAGAACACAACAAAGGCGATCAGTCGGCTACACCCGCTGCAACAGAAAAGAATTCATCCGTAAGATACAGCCAACAAAACGTCTGGCTGATTTCTTACCTGAGCATCCAAAGCCGATCCAGTCTCCAGAGCTGTTTATGGCCACTGAAGAGATTCTCTGGTCTGAAATACTAGAGGAAGAAACATTCATATAGTGAATTAATGTAATATAATTCAAATCAGAAAATCCTGCCAGTCCTGTCCTGTCCTGTCTTTTTGTTATTTCTCCTCTCCTCTCACCTGAGCGAGTGAATCAGGTTGAACTCTGGAAGTTCATGCAGGTGGAAGATGCCGGACGCAAAACCAGTGACCAGGATGTGAGTGGGCTTGTGGTAGGCAG